CCCCAAAACCCCAAAACCCCAAAACCCCAAAACCCCTATGTCCATCTCAAACATTGAGTAAATTTTTAAGTTAGGAGGATCTTATGGCATTAAAGAAAGTTCATAGAGTTGAAGTTGTATCCGTTATGAATGAAGTCCTCCACCATGTGTTTAACGTCTCCGACCTTGTAGTCCTGATTAACCTTAGCTCTAGCTCCTTTTACAAGAATTGAGTAGAAATCAACCACTTTGGCTGCTTCTTGCTCAGTCTCATAGTTTCCTAGGAAGATTTTATCCTTCTTTGTTCACACAAGAGTCTGCCATTTAGAAGCGTTCTTGGCAACTCCGATGTACTTCGATCTATTGTTAGGATTCTTGATGTTCTGGGACTGGGCTGGCTTGGAACCCATCCTAACATAAGTGCTCTCTACAGAAAGTCTACCGCTTTGATAGATATCTTCATAGAGGCTTTTACAAAGTTCGTCAGCTTTCTCTTTAAACAAACTGAAATATTTGTCCTTCTTAAGTCTCCTTCCTCCAGTTGAAGCCTTCTTTGACTCTTCCAAAGCTCCCTGAATTGGAGAAGAGGCAAATGGAGTGTCGCATAATCAGAAACTATCAAGAGATATAGGCATCTGTGGAATGAAAGTAGGGACCACAAATCCCATGCTTGTTGTAGCCATCATAGGAGCAGATTGGTACATCATCAATGGAATCGCTTGTGTGTTTGAGAAATTATATGCCATCTCATTGTTTGCTGAATCTATTAATAAAAATTAGCAATCAAAATTACCTAGCTAGCATAAGTATGTTAATAAACTTTGTACAGGATAAGAGGTTTTATTAATAAACAAGATATGCGACCAAGGTGATGCCCCACAGCCTCTAGGCTGGCTAGGAACTCAAACACTTCCTAGGACTGTTTTAGCAGCCATAGGAGAGCATCCTGACAAAATAACGAAGTCTGAACTTACCGTTCATTTTCTTTCTTAGTTGTAGTTTTTAAATTAATTATTATTAACTAAAGGATTAAATTTCTTTAAATAACTTTTCTTTGATATCATATTTTGGGAATAACTCTGAATTATCAAATCCAAAGCTAAGCTTACCAGATTGCAGACTTGGGCTTAGCAAGCCAAAGACAACTTTTATGAATATTTTTAGATAAGTATAGAGACCTATTGCCGAAAAATTAATATGAGCAGACTCATCTCTAGGAAGCTAGTATCTTATGGACGACCGCTCTTTAGTAATTGAAATTAACTAATAGGACTCTCTGAAGCTCTCTTACAAAATTGGACACTGATAACTTCATTGCTCAACAAGGTTTTGAGAAGTCCAGAGCTACAATAATGCTTTATTTTAAAACAGCCGTTAATCACGTCTGTGAAAATTTAGTAACTATATGAGCTTCTTACCTAGCCCTTTCTCTAGCCTAACAGAGGGTTCTGGGAAGTCTTGAGAGGATGCTTCTGGGTTAAAAAGCGCATAAATAAATTATTTCATAATTTCTGAACTCCTAACCTCTATCAGTACCTGAAATATTAATAACCTAAGTGAATAGTGAATAATTAGCCGTATTTTAAGGTGTATCAGTGTAAGCTTAGGTCTGATTTTATGAATAAAAAGTAATCAAGAGTCCTCCTTTGTTAACTAGAGCAAATAAGAGCATTAATTCTGAAGTTTATGAACAAATTGGCTGAGATACAGAGCTGGAATGAATTATTTCCGATTTCATGAATTTCAGAAATCGTGTGAGAAACAAGGTTTTCAGAGGGTCCTGGCTTAGTTCTTTCATCCAATAATTTTTGTTTCATTAGGAGAAGTTTATCTAATATTTCTTGCCTTGGTCCGGCCTAGCCCAATCTTTATTCTGAGCATACTAGTAAACCTTCAAAAGGCGAAAATTAAGGTTTAGAAAAATATGTAGGTGATTAAAACGTATTATTTAAGATAAGAAAATAACCGTGGCGATCTAAGATTCCCATCAAAGGCCTACTATTACTCCTAATCCCTTTATGTGCCCTTGCATGAGTACTCTAGATGAGCTTATGAACTTATATGCAATATGTGTAAAAATCCATAAAGGTTTGTACAAAATTCGCCTAAAGAATTTATTACCTTGCTAAACCCTTGGATATGCCTTAGGCTCGGTCTCTGACTTTACTAAGCCTCTCAATTGTTTTTCAAAACATCTGGTGGGCAGAATTGCCAGAATTTCATGATTTATTGGTTTATATTTCATACAAATTATCAAACGCTTTTCTCAAAGTGGTTTAGAGGTATTTTAAAGTCAAGCATCCTAAGTTTTTAGATAAATCGACTGTTATGAAGAGACATTTAAGAAACTTAGGAGGTACTCCTGAAGACATCCAATAAGGGCTCTGAGATGCTGGAGGATTATAAGAACACAGCAAGAAGCCTCACCAGGAAATTAAGGAAATATCTAAGCTGGAAGAAAGTTCTTAAGTTAAATAATTTCGTTTTTATGCTAGAATCGAAGGATCTCAAGAGGGAAATTGGTCGTGATATAGGTATTATAAGGCTTTTGAATGAATAAAAAGATAATATGATTAAGAAGAGAGCTTATTTAAGCTTCTTAGTCAATGTTTTTATAGAGAAGCCTTATGATAACAGAAAGAACTTGCTTTTATTAAGCTATCGCCAAAGGTTCAATTTAGTTTATCAGAGATCTATGATTGATATACTATTAATTTACATAAAATTTGAGACCCGATTCGTTCATAATTGCATGAAATATTTGCACTACAAAACCCTCTCACTAGAGGAAGCTAAGAGACCTCCACTACATCCCTGAAAGTATCAAAATTTAAGAAATATTTTTAAACTTCGGCTAAAATTTTTGAGCAAACATTAAAGTTGATTTATTTTTATGGATACACCATTTCCAACAATTAATTCAGATATAGCCTGATGGGCTCAACAAATCTGCAATTAGTAGACCCTTCTAAGTCTCTGGAATGCTCTTTCAAAACGGGAACATCTTTATCCCACTTTAGGAGCTGCCTCCTCATCGATTTCTGAGGATAGCTTCTCTCTATATAGAAGTCCTTTACTATAATCTTTGCAAAGATTCATTGCCAAATAGGATTATTAGCTCAAAGTTTATAAATATCTGAGCCTAATCCTCGAGCGATTTGGCCCAAGAAGCAAATATTGGGAGGAATTCTGATCTTCTTCTTAAAGTTTCATCTCTTTTTAGTGTATGACCATTCATAAAGCAAATCAGGAGGATCTAAAATTTGATATGAACCTGAAATTCCATATTAATATCAATTTTAGCTAAAGATTAGCAAATTTGTGATCCTTGTGAACGTATTTAGAAATCTTTTCCAAAACCGATAAACTGTTATGATACTTTATAGGTTTTTACAGTAAAATTTATGTTGGCAATATGTCTCAAAACTCGTGTAGTCAGGCTCTCTTGAATATATCTTCTTCTGTAATAGAGAGGTATAGCAATGAAAGTTGATACAGAAAGATTAGCAGCTTTGAGAGTCTATTCGTAAACAAATTCATCAGAATAAACATTTCAAAGGCAGTTTGAAACATCAAGTTCGATTCATAACTTGTTATCGCAGTATTATTAAAAAAATGCAAAAATTGGATAACTGTTTGGCTTTTTTTATTACAGGCTGCACAACAGAGTTAGAGATGGTTTGTAGCTATCATTCTACATTTAATTATGGAATAGGGAGACCAGGAAGAGCTATTTCACCAACAAATATTGTCTTGCCAATTTTTGACATTATACTAGTATTAATCTGAAAAGTCTGCTAATCATCTAAAAATGGTGTTGTAACCTCAATTTCTGGATATTTTTATGAAATCTAATACACTGTGGAAAATCTTCAATGAGAAATATGAATAATTTATTCGTAGGAAAAGCCCCTCTCAACATGGTTTGGATATTGGTGTAAGGTAAGAATTTCGGATACTCGTGCATACGTGAGCATACCTTTTAGGAGTTTTAACCCTTGATGATTAGAAACAGCCCTAGTCCTTCTAATTTTAGTTCAAATTTATGACTGTGTGTGATAACTTCATCATTCACTCAGAATCGGAAGGAGACCTTGCCAACGACACAAATTATAGACAATTTTAAAGAAAGGTGGCTGAACTGTAAAAGAAGGTGGAATCAGCAATCAACTTCTGTGATATGCCTAAAATTGCCAGATTTGTACTGGAGAACTCTCCATAAAAGTTGATAAGGTAACCTCTAGTAGTCCCATTTTGAAATGAAGTTTCAATAAATAAATACTGAAGTTTTAAAGCAAAAATCTATCAAAGGAGGCTTCAGAGAGAGCTCTTTTGAGTTTCATGACATTTTTAAAGTCCTATTAACTCATATGATGTGCTATTAACTCCTGCCAGAGAGCTCTCTGATAGTGTCTTAACTGTCATGTTTCAATTAGTTTCATAATAAAAAGTTTTCTTTTAACTTTAGTAGAACAATTTAGCCAAAATAGAGTTCATAACTTGTGAAAAGAATAGATTTTTACCATTTGCAACTGAAACCTCTCTATGATGGTCTATAGTGATCCTCCAGATGAGTGGTAATCCGCCCAGATAGCCTACAAGGAACAGTGGCAGTCAATAATCTTGAACCAATGTGTAATTTCGCCCAGATCCACTGTGAAAATAAAGAAGCGGTGAAATCTGGAACTTATTGTCCTATTAGAACCCATTCATTATTTCATCGATGTGGCTGATTTAATTTCAATTTGGTTTTAGAGTTCAGGAGCTACTAGGTATGAAGTTGGAGATATGCCAGTCTTCAAAAGAAGCATGCTTTTATCAATATCCTGGATACGATAATTCATGATTCCTTGACATGTTTAAAAACCCTGCCAAAATTAAGGTTTTTGCAATAAGTATCATTGAAGGAAGATTTATGAGCATAAAAATTTGAATTGAATCGGCCGGTCTCTTTTGCTTACTCAAGTTGCAAGTCGAAACTAGTGATCTCTTGATGTAAACAGTCTCCTTTAGTACTATTTATTAACACTGATATGCTTTCTTGACACTTGCAAGGAGGAAATTATAGGTTTACAAACAGGAAGAATATGAATCTGTGATACACCGTTTTCAGTCTGTTGAGTTTGTGAAGTACTGCAGACATTTTGCCTAAACTCATGCTTTATGGAAGCTGAATTTACTATATCCTTATCTTTAAATTTTCAATAGAAGCCTTAATGAGATACTCTAGCTTGTATCATCACTATCTGAAGAACTAGTGAAGGGATAGGTGTGCATAAGAGATTTCAGAAGGCATACTTTTAGAGCCAAGATCATGCATCGGTTAACAGTATTTCATAACAAAAACTGCAGAGCCCGCTTCAAGACTTATCAAACTAAGCTCTCTTAAATTGTCAAGAAATATTATGTAGCTTGCTGTAGTTGTAAGGCGAGGTTAGCATCAGCATTTTTCTCCTTAATATTTTGAGCCTCCATTTCCTGCAATCTAGTATATTTTTATAAATTTTTGTATTTTTCTATTCTCTTTTCCCATGGAAGCATCAATACCTCATTCAGCCTGAATGGATTTATTAAGAACAGATTTAGAGGCTTGTAGCATCTGAATGCTCACTTAGGGCTAAAATCGAAACTTTAGTTATCCACGAATCTAGTAGCCCATCGCCAATCAGTAAGGACTTCTGCCAAGAAATTCATATCTGAGTCTCAAATTTAGAGATGTTCTAGATAAGAGATTCAGTTCTAGTTGAGACTTATGAGTATTTTCATCCTCGTACTGATCCTCTTGAACCTACTGTACAGGCTATAGCCCAAAATTTTGAGAGTAGGTTTATTTATTCTAACTCTCAGTAACTGCAATAACACCATAATTCGGTAACACTGAAGATTCGATGAATTTAGTAAATTTTTCACATTAGAGTTGGGAATATTGAGAAGGCTATCTGGTTACTATAATTGGCGAATCTTGAGCTTCGCTCTCCAGTTCATGAATAGCCACCAAGGAGGGTTTATTCCTTTTTAAGAGTCTTTACTATAATCTGTGGGTATGCTAAGCCAGAACTTGCTTTTAGGAATCTGAGAAGCAAAGTTGAATAACTTCTCTTCTCCATCTCTGATATGGGTTCGAAATATTTACTTTTACTGTATTTTGTGGTTTATTCTATTTACATGCAGCCTCTTTAGAGGCAATTTCTGAGTGTTATAGCCATAATTAAGAACTTCTTCGCAAATAGGTCTCTGATTATTCCCTTTAAGTAAGTTATTACAAAGGAAAAACTAATAATTTTCCATAATTGTTATTAAATTGGGTGTCAAAACCTTGTCCTGAACGTAAAAACTTAGTAATGTTATAAACTTCAGAAGCCATACAGAGGAAGCTGGGAAGGTTTAGGCTATCTAAGCTAGTTGATGACCCATAATCGAGGAGAAAGTGAACCATCTTTGGAAATCTTCACTTCGTCTGATTCTAATTGCAATAGGGCCACTTAGTTTATAAGAAGGTGAAATATCAGATGGCTCTGGAGAGGACATCGTGAAGCCAATATTTAGCAAAGAGACTACACATCCTTGTGACCTCTTGGCTTGCTTTATAGGTAAGGTTATAGGACCCAGTTAGCTTAAAACAGGTTTGTGAATTTTTAATAAGCATTCATGCTTCTTTCCAGGCTAGGAAAATAAGATAACAAAATTGCTGAAAAATGGACCTAGTAAGAAAGCAAGCAGCCAGATTGATTAAGGAGAAATAGGGAAAATTTGTAGGTGTCTCGATTGCTTTAGAGGAGTCCCTGAAGACGGGATAGATGAAGCCTTCAATAAGAATCAGGTAACCTTCAGGTAGGCTTTGGCCAGACATTTTAAGAAGAAGAAATCATGCAATTCGAATTAAACGATACTAATTTGAAATAGTGTTGATTTCTTTGTTTCCTAACTGTCTTGAGAGCCCTGGTAAGGTCAGACCTCTCCTTCATAATATTTTGGAATGAAGATGGATATTAATTCTTGAAGTATCTATTGGTAGAAAATCTGGTTTACTGTCAATGGTAACATGGTTTATGGAAGGCCTCCTGAGCACTGAAAATCGTCTAAACCTTCAAAATTAATATGTGCTGATACTAAGAACTCCCTATTTGTGATCAGAACTTTTTATGAACACCAACTTATAAATTGTTCGTGAGAAGTAGGATTTTATGACTATAGAAATCATAAAAACCTGGCTGCTATTAAGGCTGCTATATAATCCTGTTGCCTAACTTTTCGTTAATAATAATTTTGTTAAATATTAGAGAGATAAATTATGATTTTACCGGAGTGTGTCCCAGCATGGTTCAGCTGAATGGGCAATTTAGGTAAACCACTTTTAATACAGCCTGCCGAAGTCGGCCCTTCTAATGCAGACCATCTCTGTTTTGGTACTATCAGTGTAAAACTTGGATATTATGCCAAGAAGGCTTTAGAGAGCCTGCAAGGAGTGGAGCAATCGGTTCAACCACTCTATAATGTTTGAGATCAGTATTTCATAATTGCCTTATTTTCTTCTTGAAGTAGATATATTAAATTAGGAGAAATATTCCCAAAATAGTTTCAAAGCAGCAGATATGGTCCTAGCTTTAGCCTCTTATATGAAGCTGCCTAGAGTGATCTTTCCTATAAGCAGGAATAGTCTGAGATTTATGATTTGGTGATAGCAGACAAGAATTCAGAAATCCTCTAATTCACCGAGATATCCATTTTGATGTGTCTACAATGCTTAGCTTGGCATTTATACCAATATTTTGACTCTATATCAATTCTTGTGTAGGCCAGGAAGTTCATATCCACCTCCAGATTAATGAATCATAAGGCGAGGAGTAGAGGAAATTTTCATTCTGAGAAAATTTTCTAAATTTTGCAGTTCCAAAGTTCTTGAAGAAGAGAGTCTAATACCATTTCTAATTTTGATACACATTTATGCTAATTCAACCTCTTTTGCCTCATTGAGAGCCTGAAGCTCTTAGAATTGGGATCTAAGGGAGCAAATCTCAGAAATTCAAAGTAATGTGTTGTTCAGAGATACAATAAATATCTATTTTGAAAAATTAAAGAGTTCATTGTTCATTACATTGACTAGTTATGAATTGGATCAGATTACTTTTAGCTTCTTAGATGCCAAAATATTGGAAATATTCATCAGAAAGTTCAACTTCTCCCTTTAGAGAGAAGTTCCACAACATACTTCTAAAACTCTCCATCTCTTTGAAGACTAGGAAGTCAGAAGCAGCAAGTGTCTTTAGTAACTCCACCTAAAAGCTTGGCTAAAGCTCACAACTTATGCTTTCTGCTGGAGCTTAATCATGCATTTTTAGGTGAATTATTGCCTTTTGACTGCTGGCAAGCCAGAGGTAAAATAATCTGATAAGAATTTATCTATAATTACCATAAGCCGTCATAGATAATAATTATAGTCCATAGATAGCAACCAGGATAACTCTAGGCTCGTCTGATGAGAAGCCATAGGAATATTCTCTCCAAGATTTCTGATGGTAGCATTTCTTGAAAAATCTACAATTTTCAGGTTGACGGCGAAAGATGGTGAATATTTTGACCCGAAAAGTTGTAATTTTTAGGGTCTCCAAAGAAGCCTTCTTTGTTGGTTCAAGAGTATTTAGAGACAAATTCATAACATAGAAGATGGATATGAGCTGCCAGGTTATATCTCTTCAGTTTATAGAAGGCCTTATAACATTTAATATTATTTATGAGTTTGTTTCATTGATTTCTACTGCACAGAAATTCAAATTACTAGTTCAAAGCAACAACTTTCTTAAAACTAATAGCTTTGTAAAAATTGGCAAAAGTTAGATAAATTTTACTGTGAAATTAACAATAATTGTGAGGGATCTATAAATTAGGATACTTCAAGTCCAGATTTGATTCATTGATCAGCAAACTTCTCACAAATATTTCAGATTTTGGAATCTTAGTAGAACTAGCTGATGAATGCTCCATATGAATCAACATGTTGTAGCACTCGTTTGAAGGTATGGAATGAACTGAAAAGGATCCTCGGATAAGTCTGTTATCAGTTATGACTTAAAGAGTGCATTGGATTATAGAATATTTCTAAAGAAAACAAGAAGTTTTAGCAAAAGAGACTTCAATCTTTCTAATAGTTTACATCTTCAGCAGACGTCTTTAGTTGACTTGAGAGATTATTACTCAGAAGGAAGAGAATTCTCAGAGCTTAGACTATAAGAATGCTTTTCTACAGCGAAAAAGTAAGGGGTTCAACTCTTTTCATTCAGAAAGCTTCTTCAAATGTATCCTTCCATGTGCCATTCGTCAACTGATTTCCTGCATTAGCATTCAGATTTATTCACTTTAGGAATGTCAGCTACCAGAACTCCCTAAAAATTAAAATTAGCTTAATTTTCACTGAAATAACAGGAAGCCTAAAGCAGTAAACACTGCTTTAGGATTGTTTACCTCTACAAATTATGGACTATGGCTTCTTGAAATATTCTCAGAATTTCCAGGAAAATGGAATCACTGAAAGAGAATATTGACTAATAACATATTATTTCCCTTCTTGGACTCTGAAGCAAAGAAAATTTAGAGAAGTCTTTCAGAGAAGTCCAGGCCTGGTTTGTCTGGCTCTTCTCACAAGACTCTGGCTACAGAAATTGATTATTCCATATAAGTTATTCCAAAGTTGAGAAGTATCCTTTTGGCCTGAAATAAAAGAGATTTTTGAGTCATTTGAGAGACCACCCAAATTATTTGTTAGCCTTCTTTGAGGGCTGACAGCTCAATATCTTAGCTGATTAAATATTATGAAGTTAGCTATAGCCTCTATTCATGGATCTGTAAGGAAATTTTTATTCCATAACTTAATAATTCTGAGAAACTTGAGTAAATTAGTTATTTTAGGAAATGCGATGATTACTATTTCTTTCATAAATAATATGAATTGCTTTATCAGCCTATCAGGCGAGTCTGATAAGCATATAGCACATCAAATAGTGTAGTGAAGTTATCTTTGATATTTTTGATAAGTAAAATTGAACTTAATAGGAAGATGACTATATTTCTTAAACAATCTAAGCCCAAAATTTCTTCGGCAGTTAAAAATATATGAATGGAGTCTTAAAATTAGAACTGAGAAAACATATTTCCATAAAATTATGAAGTCAGCTTCTACTGAGATTTCTAATTATTCAACAAGCAAGGAAAAAATCTGGATGGCTTATAAATGCTACCAAGCAAGCACTCATCAAGAGTTATGGGGAAATTCTCTTGGATTCTTAAGTTGATTAAAAAGTGTTTGAGCATATTTTTAATAAGATTTCCAATAGAGAATATTCCAAAAAATTGCCAGATAGCTATTAACTCCGAGAGAAGCTCTTCTAGTGCTTTCCTCCAAGGAAATTAGAGGGGATACTTTCCTCACTGTAAGTACTGGCATAACTTGTTGTAGGAAAGACCGTCTTCAGAGGTACTTCAAATACCTCTACTAAACAGCTGTTTACTGTATTCTTACAAGTATAAATTATGCAGAAGACCAATTTTACGGTCCTATCTTTGAAAATGGAAGACAACTGTGCATGAAAGTTAGCTTTCACAACACTTAAGTCAAAGTTGGTATTCTTCCAAAAAGGAGTTTACACCTTTATCAAACGAATGGTCATCTCATTTTGCCTGGAGTTTCGGCCAGAGGCCCAAACTAGGGAAAAATTATCGGCTCCTCCATCTTTCTCGAGGAAGGATCCATCAGTCATGAGTTTTGCCTCAAGTTCGCTTCAAGGGTAATAACTGGGAACTTTCTAGTTGGCTTGTTATGAACTAACATAAATTTTAAAATTTTAAAGATGGAAAAATTTAAAATTATTAGAAAGTCTGAAAAAATTTGTTATTAAATTGGGTTTGAAGGGAGATTTGGGCTGGAAAAAATACTAGTAGGATGACTTAGAGCTTATTGGAGGGAAATCAAGGAAAATAGGAAATAATTATATTTTCTGGGTTCTAATGGGTCGGTTTGGGTCATTTGAACTCGAGTTCTCTGTTTGTATTATTGGAAATTGTGAAATTAGCCAGATTAGGTTGATGATGGAAAGGGTTGTCAATTAATAGAGTCATTATAGTACAGAACCTTCTTTTGAGAAGATAGATTTTCATGTATGTATACTCGGAAAAAATATTTAGCCAATTTTTACATAAGATTTTGTGAATTCATTCTAATGAGAAGTCAGGATAGAGTGAAATTAGTGATTAATGATTTAGAATTGTAAGCATCAGAGAATTCCCTTGCTTTATTTTAAACTCAATAACAAATTATTAATTTGTCATTGCATCTATAACCTTCTGAGATCGTAGAGCTTAATAGAAAGCTATATTGTCTACTAAAATTACAGCTCAATGTAGAGAGGTCTTTTATGACCATAACTGCCCCCAAAATATTACTTACAGAACTTTATCTCTTCTGTTTCCTCATATAGGAAGTATTTCCCAAAACAATGGAGTAATTGATCAGTAACATCAAACCTCCAAGACCACTTCCCTCCCTAAAAGCCTCAACAATTCTATTAGAATTTGAATTACTTACCCTCCCCAACACATCACTCCCCCACCTCCACCTCTCCCTCTTCCTCTTCCTCCCCTTTCCCACCCCTCCACTCTCCCCTCCACCCTCCTCACCCCCTCTCTCCCATCCCTCTCCTCAACCCCAGTAACAACCCACTTGGCCCAACACCATCTTCCTCCCTTAATTATTTATACATTGACAATTACAAATTCGTGCTATGGGGTTTTGGGGTTTTGGGGTTTTGGGGTTTTGGGG